CAAGCCGAATACGAATTGAAAGTAATTCCGATATTGGGCTCTATCAACTAAAAATTACCAATGTCAACCTACAAGACGAGTCTTTCTATAGATGCTACGTCGGACATATATTCACCAATGACGATTTAACGTACTTTGAGTCGCAAGTCCTGGTATATATTCATCCACAAGAACCATTTCCACTGATTAGAACAACTGGGCAAGACGATAAACTTGAAACGTATGATGTTAACATTGGTGACGTCATCAACATTAAATGTGAAGCTAATCTCAGTAAGCCAACTGTCAAATTATCATGGTTTCTTGATGACTTCCATGTAAAGGCAGCTAATGAATACACAGAGACAGAAGATGGTATAACATATAATACATCAATTGAGTTTTTAAAGACTGCGACAGTGGCGGACAACAAGAAAACACTAGAGTGTGCAGCTGAAAGCCCAGCAATTGAAAGACGGAGCAGCATGTTGACCCTAAATGTTACATGTGAGTAAATTACACCTCAATCATTTGAATAGCCGCGGCGACGGCAGCAGCATTGGCGGCGTCAAAAATGAACGAGAAAGTCAATAAAAAGCAAAAATTCCGTAAGTTCTTAAATTGAAATTTAAAAAACATACATTTTTTTTGTTTTTTTTTTCAAAGTTAACCAACTATATAATTTGAATGTACCATATTATCGAATCGATGAAAATGAAAAAATAAGAATCGTACTTGCACTTCTGCTGAAACAGTTGTACTTTCCTTGAAAAGATATGCACACTTTTGTCATACTTTTGCTGCAATAATTGTTCAGTTACAATTTTTGTCAGTAGCTATATTGTGATGTTGTGGTAACTTTTGTAGATTTGATATTTATTAGTTTCTTCTCTTTTTGTGTATTGTTTTTTTTTTTATCATAATATACATTCTCTGGGTATTTTAGATAAACCATTGGTAGAGGTAAATCCACAATCCATCACCACCGAAGAAGGTGAAGATGTTTCATTCACGTGTAACTCAACTGCTAATCCAATGCCCTTTTCATACACGTGGATTATTGAACTCGACAATGGAACGAATCTACTTAAAGCCAGTCAAAACCTAAAACTGAATAGAGTAACAACAGACTTTGATAATGCTAAAATCAAATGTGAAGTCGAAAACTCAATTGGAAGATCACAGGCAAACGTTGTAAATTTTACAGTCAATGGTAACTATTTATTTTATTACAATAACAATCATTCTTGTATATCAATTTGGTTTTGCCACTCCACACTGTAAATATGATAATTTATACACATTCATGCCTGATATTTATTTTCTGAAGGACCTGGAGAACCGCTATTCGTGATTTTACCCTGTGTAGGATCGATGTTTCTTTTCATGATCACCATATTTTCCGTGCTGGTGTACAAATACAGGTTTAAAATATGCATGATGAAAGTGCGTCAAAATGTTTACAAAAACACTGCTGGAGGTTAGTCTACTAGCAATTTGAACTATAAAATTGATAATGTCGGTGGCTATGTAATAATATGGATGGTGGTGGTGGTGGTGGTAGTGTTAACTGTTGTGATGATGGTGAATGTCAAAATGATGTTAATGATAATGATGGTAATTTTGATTATGCTGGTAATGATTATGTTTACACTTGGCGGTGATGATGGTAATTGTTTCCATAAAGAACGTGTTTATATATACCCTTTTATTATAAAAGCTTCATCTTGCTTTTGTCTATAAAATTTAAATTTCAGGGGGCGAGAAGGAGTTTGATTTCTTCATTGCTTATAAAAGTGGAGGGGATGACGAAGACTTTGTTGTGAATACCCTGACACCAAAACTAGAAGAAATGGGTTTCAAAGTTTGTGTCCATTTCAAACACTTTTTACCTGGCAGTTGTGAGTACACTATGCGTTACATATATGAAATAAGTAATGAGACAACAGGAGTGCAGCTGTAGATTAGTGCTTAAAATTCTTGCTTTGAAATCATAGTCCTGGATTCAAACCCGTCACTGCCTGACTTTCCACACAACTAGAAAACACTCCATACGCCTCATATAGGTCTACTAAATTATAAACTTAGTATTTGAAACATCATTCCATCCTGTGAGTGACGTCCGAGTGCAATTTATGTTGGATATACATGAGATTTTAAAAAATTAGGAAAAATGTAGTTTCATTAATTTTTTTAACTTTCCAGAAGGGGCGGGGGATGGCCCGGCCCCCTCTAAGTCCGCCCCTGGTATGGTCGTGTTTAGTTAAATTGTTACTGTTAACCTAGTACAATTGTTATCGTTGAAAATGAAACAAAATTCAAAGTAGATTTAAAGATGCTTTACTGGCGATACCATAATATGCAAATTTGAAGTGAAATTGTTTTGAAATTGTTTGCTATTTGATGCCATACGGTTATTTTATTGTCTTTTAGCCATCATTGATAACATTACTGAGTCGGTTCACAACAGTTGGAAGACAATACTCGTACTTTCGCCCGCGTTCCTTCAGAGTGGTTGGTGTCAGTACGAATTCAAAACTGCTTGTGGTAATATGCTGAAACAACGAGTCGACATACTACCGATCATTTACGAAGAAATACGAAATCTACCCGACCTTGACGACAACATACGGACGCTTATTAATACAATAACATATCTTAACTGGAACGGAGGAAACATTAATGAGGAACAGAAGATACAGCTCTGGAAGGACATTATGAAATCTGCACCACGACAACCGCATATGGTGGCGCCACAAGACGAAGAAATGATACAATTACAGTAGTAGATCTTGAATGACCGTGAGATAGTGATTACAATTCTTGCATACCCAGATCACCTATCATCAATTCCATTTCACACACTCTCATACTGGTGATACTATAGCAATTAAACTTCGGGCAACCAGTTGGTACTATGGTACACTGTTTCACGTGCAGAAAATGCAAAACAAGAACGAATGTTTTTTTTAGCTCCGATGAGGAGCACTAGGAATACCCGGCTGATTGATTAGTTGATCTATTTTGTGCTGATAGACATAGACATAGACATCACTTTATTAATCCAAATCCTTGGAAATTACATCGCTCTTTCAATAAATTAAGCAGGAAAAGTAATTCAATACAATAAATAATAACTATCTTACATATCTACTATATCTACAGGTAAATGCCCCTCGCAATGAATGAGTTAGAATAACGGTTCGTGTTAGCAGCCGGTACCCTCAGTCTACCGCTGCGTTGTATAACGCAACTAGCAATAGTTGAATGTAACGGGTGACTTTCGT